ATGGCCCTCCTGTCCCAAGGAAACTTCACACTTCCCCTTGTTTCTTTAAGACACTTGATTTATGCCCCAAATTCCTTTCCCTAGGTCCTATGCTTTTATAAAGCAAAAATTGACTTATTTAATTTCCTGTCATGCTACATTCCTCCCTGAACTTCTAAGTGCAGAGCTACCAATTTGAGTATATGCTTTAATTCTGAATTACAAGTATTTAAAAATTCAAATTTCTGGCTTTTCTAGAAAAATCATCATAATTGGCCCTCAAGACAACAATATACTGAAGTTGAGTACCAATGGCCAATATGTACTTTCTACTTTCCCACAATGTACCTTGGAAAAGGATGGTACCATCGATGCTAAGATATGGAAGAGTTTGATTTGAGTAAGGAAGATAATTTTAAGTGAAGATGTTTCTAAATGGAAATGTCCACAAGGCAACTGGAGATAGGAGAAGGCAGAAATAGAATTAACAATTTACTGTCATAAGAGAGAGGCAATAGTTGAAAGCAGGAAAATGGGTGATCCCTTTAAGTCTGCTTCTTAGCTGAGTTAATCTCAGACACACAGAAGACAATAGGAGGTTCTGAGCTGTGAGATCATTCCTAGCCTTGAGAGAGTTCCTAGCTATTCAGGGATTGTCATAGTCTCTTCCTCTCCCTCTAGATCTTGGAGTAGACTCTTTTGGACCAAGTGCTTATCCAGTTTTATATTAATTAACTCTACATATAAATGCTGCTACTTCTTATTCTAATTAGCTAGTCATCATCAGTTCCCAAATCCAGACATGTAAAATACATTTGGCTGCAAACCTAAAGGTAGGTGGTTCAAACCCACCAGCTGCTCCATGGAAGAAAGTTGAGGTAGACTGCTTCTGTGAAGATTTACAGCCTTGGAAACTCTATGGGGCAGTTCTACTCTGTCCTACTGGGTCATTATGAGTCAGAATTGACTGGCAGTGGTTATTTTCCTGGAATGTCCTTCCAACATCCCTGTTTCAAGACCAGCTTCAGAGCTATCTCCTCTATATGGCCTTTCCCAAGGGCCCAACTTATGGCCCAAGGGTACAAGCTTGCCATTGAGTAACTGTAACACATGTGACATGAAGTGCCATATAGCATGTAGCAAACACCACCTCCTACTCTTCCAAATGCTTCTGCATGTATATTTTCTATCCAAATTTCAAAGTTCAAGGACAGGACTTTACTATTTCTCCTCTCAGTGACCAAGCACAGTGTCTTATATTCAGTGGATGCTAATAAAAATTAATTGACGAAAAGAATAAATACTAGAATTTATTTGGTTCTTACTGTCTACCAAGCATTTTTCTAAGCATTCTGCATTATTTTTAGTATGAAGAGACAGAAAGTTGCATCTATTTCTTAAGTATATTGTAGGGAAGAGACCTATGCTTGAGGGTAGAGACTGTGTCCTAAATTTCTTTGATCTGTCACATCATCTAAAACAATGATTCAATATTTAGTGACATCACATTTGTACAAATAAATACCTGGCACATTGCCAAGCTCATTGTAGATAATAAACATTTTCTAAATAATTTGATAATACAAACTGCTGGACTAGGAGCCATAGGTATATCAAAGAAAGACCCTTTTAGGAACTTCAAATATCCCCAAGGATTCTTATATAACCAGCCAAATGTAACTGAAAGAAGACTGAAGAAAGTACTTGAGATGCAAGCAATTGCCTATGAGATCCAGAGAATGGAGCAATTAATTTTTTTGCTTATAAATGTAGATGTGTAATGGACACTTACATGATATATATCATCTCTACAAAGGAAAAGAGTATTCTGTTATGCTTTAAATTTTTAATTTGATTTGGCTTTGCTGATAATGCATATGTTTTATGGGGGAGGAAAAGTGCTGGTAAATAAACCCAGATGACATTTTGAAAATATAGAGAACTTCAAACTGTTCTTGTGTAGTTAAAAAACATAGGTGTAATTACTTATAAAATTATTTTAACCTTGGAAGTTACATGCTGGTGAGGAAAGGTCTGGCCTATGATAAGCAATAAAATAAATACTGCTTATAATTCAAGGAGACATGCAACTGTTGTAGTTTCTATTTTTCCAGAATACTGACCTAAAAGTTTATTCAATGGACAACTAGAGTCCTTTTTATCTCACCTCTTTATTTCACACCACCAGGATCTCCATTATAATTACTCCATATCTTTTGTAATGACTTCTCTCCATTTTTCCTTTAAAGTCGTACATAAACTGATATATCAGTAGCCTCAGATCTTTGTCATGAGACTAGGATAAAGCCTGATTTATCTTCTCTTTGCTTCTTTACAAAGTGTTTTCTAAGGCTTATGGATAAAACCTTGATTACAGAAGAACGTACACACTTGTGGTGTATAGATCCTCAGCAAACCACACAGGACATTACCATTTACAGTGCAATAATGGAAAATGAATAAGAACTGTTCTTGAGCTTAAGAACTGGACTTGAGCTTAAGCTTGTACAGCTACCAGCTGTATGGTCTTAGGCAAGTTATTTCACTTCTTTAAGCTTTAATTATATCATCTGGAAAATAGAGATTATGATAATATTACAACTGCTTGTCCCCTTTGTGTGACAGGATTGTTGTGAGAATATACTGAGGATATATACATGAAAGTGGTTTGCAAACAGTACGGAAGTTTAACACGTATCTTATTACTAGTAGTTGATAACTACGTCTATTCACAGTATGATTTACATTTTCTTTTAGAGAGACTCTTAATGAGACAAAAAGGCAAATACTGACATCTACTTCTCATTTACAGTTATACGTAATTACACAGAGGTGAGCCAAATAACAATGTACAGTTATACAGTTGTGAATACAGTCATCCTTCTGTACTGCAGCTGGGAGAGCAGCTAACAATTTTCTCTTAGCAACTGTCTAAGTTCTATATGAGAGATGCTTGGCAGAAGATAAATGAATGAAGTAATGAAGACCTAGCAAAAAATAGGAACCTTGGAACCTCTGGTGGCATAGTGCCTAAGTCATTTGACTGCTCACCAGAAGGCTGGTGGTTCAAACCCACCAGCCACTTCTCAGAAGGAAGGTTGGGCAATCTACTTCTGTAGTGATACCACATCAGAAACCCAAGGAGGAGTCACTATGAGTTGAATCTGACTCCATGGCAGTGAGTTTGTTTTTTGCTTGTTTAGAGTTAGTTCAGTCAGCAATCTCTTTTTAGGTCCTTTTTTTTTTTTTTTTAAGAATACAATAAGATAGTTTATGACTAAGGAGAACTGTCAGTCAATTCTTAAAATTATATGGTAAATATAGTTTAACAGTAATACTCCAAAACCAGCCTAGAAAGCAAGCATTTGCTTCTGATACTCCCAGGTAAAAGATTTTAAAGTAAAACTTTTGATGCAAAAAATAAGAATATGAGAGTCACTAAAGCCTGCAAGTTCAGGGGTGAGAAAGGATCAGCTGCCCAGGATCCAAGAAGAGTAGCTGTAGTTCTTTCTTAGGCTTGATGAACAATGAGACCAGACTATGGGGAAATTTTTTAAATAAAAATACATAATAAAAAGAAATATCTTCCAATAAATCAAGTTTTTATTTTGTTTTTCAAATTTTGGATAGTCCAATCTTTCAGAAAGACAAAGAGAAGAATCACAATGATTTATACAAGTAGAAGATTTATAATTCCTATAATCTGATCTGAAATCTCAATCCACTTGAAAATTAGCTTGCTTTTGTTTAAAGAATGGCTCCAAAGAAATAGGGATTGTGAAACAATGCATACTTGTAAAAGGTAGTTTCCAGTGTTGCACTGATTCTATTCTCAGTTTAAATACATACATACATACATATATATATGTATATATATATATGCACATACATATATATATGATGCATATATTATAATATCCTAAAGAACTTTTATATGACCAGGTAAATGTAACTGAAAGCAGACTGAAGAATATACTTATGAGAGGTGCAAGCAATCACTTTTGTGAATTATGCATATATATATGTACACACACACACACATAAGTATATATATATATGTATATATATATTTATACATACATATATGTGTGTGTGTGTACATATATGTCAGAGTTCAGTGAATTTTAAATGTGTTATTATCTCCAGAATAGGCCGTAATGTCCTATGGATACATTTAACAAATCCAGAACTTGTTAAAACAAACAGCATGAAACAGATAGTTAGAATTCTATCTTTGGAGGAGCTGCTCCCCCCTCCCCCAATCGCTTGTATTCTTCCTGTTTCCATAAACTTGCTTTAGAAATTTTCATAAAGTAACATCCTGATCTGGACTACAGATCAGGAACTTTCTATTTTCTCTGTGGGCCCACTTACATCTGGGCTAAAAATCCACAGCACATCTGGGCATGCAGAGGAGAGCACCCTGATGAGTACCAGACTAACTCTTCTCAGTGAATTAGGAGCATGACGCCTGCTGGCCAAACACGACCCGTTTCTGCTATGTTGTTTGCTAGTCAAATAGTCTAACAAAGTTCTACAGCCTAACCGGTCAGATCTAGGAAGATAAAATTCTGATTCAAAGTTGGGTATGAGAACTCAGTATTCTCACTATGTTAACAAATGCATAATATATAAACTCTGGAATACAGAGCTAGAAGGCAGAAGATATAAATCTATGGAACTTTGCCCTATAAAGATTTTACTTTAACTTGCTCTGGCAATTTTTAAGTTTTGCTTCTGAAAGTATAATAATTTTCTTACCAATTTTACACATAAATATATATTAGAATATGTCCATGAATTAGACTAGAAATATTTTTAGAAAATTCTAACAAAATGCTTACAGTTAGCATCGATCACAAGCTAACTTTACATTTCTGAAATCAAAGCCTATTCAATTTATATTAAATTTAAATGGAAAATAAACTAAAAAACTAAAAGCCTAACTTATAGATGCTATTGAATATTAAACATTGTTGTCTTTTCTTTAAACAATAACAACAAAAATTAGTAATGATGAATTATCCTGAGTAGTTTGACTTGGGTCCAAGCAAAGTACATATTACATCTCCCTGAAAAGGAAAAAAAAAAAAAAAATCATGCAATTACAATACAATAAAATACAAATTTTGAAATAAAGTAGTCTTTAAAATGTTAAAAATTAAAGGTTAGTGATACATATATAAAAGGCACTTAACAAGACTAAAAAGAGGAAAGAAACCAATATAAGTTTAAACAGTAATGGTTACTTCCTTATATAAACATGCTCTTTTCTATGAAAAGCTTTTTTAATGAAGGTTTATAAATAACTTTATATGGACTCAGTAAGGGAAAAGTCTCTGTTGACAGTTCTGGCAGTTCCTGTTTAACCTTAATGTTTAAACTTCAGTTTTCTCATCTGTAAAATAACTGTTAACATTATCTTAAGTGTTTTCCTGATTTGGAGCCAGTAGAACTTCTCAATCACTATGTAGTTTTCACTTAGTCATAATGATTTTTCATACTAAAAGGAGTAAAATTATCATATATAAGAAAATGAAAGCCAAAAATAGAAGGTGAGTTTTAAGGAAGATAGCAGAGAATAGTGAAAGACTGAAAGCGGAGGACTAGAGTTTTCTCTTACTGTGTGATCTACAGAAAATCACTGAACTTCCGGGACTCTTAGTTTTCTCAAGTGTATAGTGGGAATACTGGCATCCACTTCTAAAGGTTGTTATGAGAGTTTAATAAGTTAATGTTTGTGAAAGTAACTTATAAACTCTACAGAGTTATAGAACACCTAAGATAATATGACATAAGTGAGTTCCAGTCTTTAGCCTATTCTCCATGGTCTTTGGCACCTCTCCATTCATCATGCTCTGACACATCAAATCAGCTGCCAAGTCCTGTCATTCTAACCTTGATGTGTTTCTCAAACATACCTCTTTCTTGTTTAATCTCACGCTTGTACAACTATAATAGATCATGACTGTACTCTGTTTACTGCTGTATTCTTAGTAGCTAAAACAATCTCTGGCACACAGCATGTACTCAGTAAATACCTGTTGAATGGTCTATTTCTTCTGCCTTCAGTGTCTCTCAGCATTAATTTATCATATATATTATAGATTCATGTTTGTAAACCCCATTTTGAACAATTATCTATTTTTTTCTTTTAATTTGAAGGGGAAAATGAAAATACCAAAGCATAGAGAAAACTATGACAAACACTCGTATGCTGAAACACACAGTAAAAATAGTATCCAAGAGTGATTCCCTACAGGCTACCACCCCGAGAAGTTGCTTCCTGCAATGAATGCCCCATTGACTTCTGCCAAGTGCTTACAGTATAATTCCATTCAATGCAAGACACAGACTCCCAGCAACCAATCCCTATCATGTCTGGAGAGGAGCTAGTACTTCCCTAACCATGAATGCTAATGTGGTAATAAATCTTGCCTCTGGCTAACTACATTATAACGTTATAATTGCAAGGCTAGGAGCCCAGCCCCCTGTTAATGTATTATCCCTGATTATGCACACTGAATTGGTAGGACATGGCTGGAACCAGCATTCTTCCATGTCGTACTGCAATAATATTTTGGTTCTTGATGTGTCAGGGAAGGGCCAGAGTTTCAGAAATCATGTCACTTAGAAGTTGCACAGCCCAAGGATCAAAGAGTTCTTCTGACAGAATGCTGTGCCCTGCCACAGAGGGTGATGGGGAATGTGGAAGGGAAGGCAGCAGTCATGGTTATGGATCTTCTACTGATCCTGACTCCATGGATTTTCCCCAATGAACCCTGCTTCAGAAAAACAGGTATGTGTGGTGTCTAGTACTTTTCCTTTGTTTATAAAACACATATCTACCCCAAATCTAAAATTGTCATCTTTGCCTTGTATATCTTTTAATAAAAGAAATAAAACTTTACTGATAAAATTTGTACCCCTTCCCAATCCTGTTGTTTCCTCATCCCTCACTTCCCAAAGGCAGCCTTTATCACAAATTTGTTATGCATCTTTCCTGGAGAAGGAAAACTTAAGTGTTCTGAAATTGTGATTTACCTTTGGTTAAAATTGGTGGAGAAATTATAAATCATAATGTTATTTGGTAAACTATCATGGTAAGAAATAATATTTTTATATTAATTAGAGACTTCAAATAGTTTTTATGACTATAATTCTTCTCTTAAAAGCTAAGGAAGAGAAAGTGTACCAATTAAGCTTGTATTTGTAACATAAAACCTGATTCATAATTTTTGTTTAATCTCCCCCAAATTTAACATTTTACTTTTAAAATATGACCAAAAAGCATGCAAAGTGTATTAGTATTTGAAAAATGTATAGAATAAATTTATTAAAAGAAATTGAACTTATCTCACCAGCCTTGTAATAGTTCACACACACTCAAATCCACATCCACACCCACACCCACACATTCCCCCCCCACACACACACACGTTCACCAAAAATTTTCAGACTTATTGAGCTTAGCTTTTGTCTTTCAGGGTAAACTGCTTATAGTAAATAACAGCTGTAGTAAATTCAACATAAACCAGTTTTATTCCACATTCTAGTATATATTTTATACATTTTATTAACTATTGTGTCCACTATGAACTGTTTTGATTTGTGTTTAAATAATGTTTTATAATATAATAATAATATTATAGAAATTGTAGCATATAATACTTACCTTCCTACAATTCACTGTTTTCACTAAATACTGTGATTTTCAAATTTATTAAAAATTTTTCATACTGACACATTAAAATATATATCATTTAAACTCATGCACTGTAGTCTCTAAATATGTCATATTTTATTTATCTAATCATCTACTGATCATTTAGATTGTTCTCAATTTATAAGTATAGAAATAAGTCAAATACAAATATTCTTTTCTCATGTTGTTGTTGTTGTTATGTGCCGTCGAGTTGGACCCGACTCATAGCAACCAACCCCTCCTTGGGTTTCTGAGGCAGTATCACTACAGAAGTAGATTGCCCCATCTTCCTTCCGAGGAGTGGTTGGTGGGTTTGAACCACCAGCCTTCTGGTTAGCAGTCAAGTGCCTTAGGCACTATGCTACCAGAGCTCCCACTTTTCTTATATGTTAAGTATTTTGGACCACTACCAATGAGCTAAACAAAGCCCTAGAAAAAATAAAAAATCCAATTGGATGGCATTTATACATCTCTAAGTGTTATAGCCCCATCAAATAGGAAGATTATGGAATAATTTAGAATTTAATGACACAGAAATAAGTGAGTTAAAGACAATTAAGTGATACAGCAATAGGCAAGGCTGTAAACTTTCATGAGAAAGAAATTTAGGTAATATGTCACTAGAATTTAGGGGATGTGGGCTAGGAGACTTCTCCATTGGGAGGGCATTGACAAATCAATTGGAAAACAGGTCTCAACCTGGCAGCTAAGGTGGTTAAAAAAAATGCTCCTAAATGCCAGCAGTTCCAGATGTCATTCTCTGGCTGAAATCACTGGTCAATATGTATGTCAGCCAGTTCAGAAATAATCCAAAAAACTATTTGGATGTTTCATTTGTTTCTTTATTAGGAAAATATATGTTTAATCTGAAAAGAATAAGCATTGTACATAGATGATGCAGCAAATCAAAGTGATAATTTTAATACATCCTATGTTAAGGATTTATACATATTTACCATTTTAAACATTTGTTACATAGAAAATAATTTGCATATTAGAATGTCTAACAGATAATCATTGTGATTCTAATTTAAATGTATAGTTGGGTAATTGATTTAGACTTGTGATTACTGGTTGAAATCTTAAAATTTACAAACAATATTGGAACCTTTCATGTGGGAGACCCAAGTTGGATTGCCAGCCAATGCACCTCAAGCCACCCACCACTTGTCTGAAGCTTGCATATTGCTTGGTGCTGAAGACACTTAGCAACATTATTATTCTCATTCTACATATAAAGGAAGTGAAGTTAAAAGAAAATAAGCAACTTGTCTGAAATGCCATGCCTAGTAAGTAGCAACATCTGGGTTTAGTAAGTGTAAACTTGCATACTACAAAATTGCAACTGAATAGACTCATAAACTGGCTCTTGACTTTAGAGTCTTACCCGTCCAGAATCCAAGACAGTGGGCATATTCCTCAGTTCATATACAGCAACCTGTCCGTCACTGTCTCCCACCAGAAGGCAATCCGTTTGTTTGGCAAAGAGAACAGTTGTGAACTTGATTCCAGGGTTAGCAAAATTCACAATCAGAGGATCCAAACTGTAATGAAATATTTTATTTGTAAATTCAGATGTTACTAATACATTGGTTTTAATGTTGTTGTTATGTGCCATCGAGTTGGCCCCAACTCATAGTGACCCCTCCTTGGGTTTCTGAGGCAGTATCACTATGGAAGTAGATGGCCGAACCTTCCTTCTGAGGAGTGGCTGGTGGGTTTGAACCGCCAGCCTTCTGGGTATCAGTCAAGTGCCTTAGGCACTATGCTACCAGTTGGTTTTAACAGATTGAGAAAAATTTGAGATATTTTTTATTTCATATAACAACACCAAAAGCCACTTAAGTATTTCTAAGCTCAATATAACTGCTTTTCACTCCTCATTCAATCAAAACTTTAATTTGTTCAATGAAGTAATATCAGCTAGGGAAATGAAAGTAATTGGCAATTAAAATTTTAACTCCTAAGTTTAAATTCCTTGACAGAAGAAGGTTTTGACCCAAATGAACCTGTGAAACATAAAAGAGCACTTTTAACAGGAACTTTTCCACCTTGGTCATCCAAAGGAATTCAACTCAAATAATAACAGAAGTCAGCAAATTTATATATTTCTTCTAAAGAAGCATTGCCTTAGGAACTACAGAAAAATTAAAATCAGAATGCCTATTTCAATTATTATTCATCTCAGAGTCAAAAATAGTTTTGTAGTATATTCCTGGACCTTTGGTTCATATTATTTTATAGAACAAATTATGGCAAATCTTAAGTTGCTAATTATTAAGTTTTAGGGAAAAAATTTACTATTAAGAATTTTACATCCTTTATATTAAACAAGAATGTACTTCCTTCTACTAATAACTAACATAAAAAGTTGTATTTTCTAACTGAAGAAGTATGATCATTAAACACTTTATTCTAGCATTGTATAAATTTTCATATTAAGACAGATCTAGATTCCCTCTAATAACTTTGCTGTAGCACCTTAAATCAAAGTTTAAATTAAGTGCATACCCCTATGAATATTTTTAAGCAAGTTGTGAGAATAAATAACTATTTTAAAAAATTATTATTGTTGTCCTCTTTCTTTATCCTATTGTAGAGAATTTCTAGTTACCAATGATTAGATGTCTGTCTGCATTCCTCTGTAAACCAGTCAATGAATAAGAATTCAACGTAATTATAATATCCTATATAAGCCTATAAGAAGCTCTGGTGGTGTAGTGCCTAAGGCATTTGACTGCTAACCAGAAGGTTGGCAGTTCAAACCCACCAGCCACTCTGTGGAAGGAAGACTGGGCAATCTACTTCTGTAAAGATTTACTGCTTCAGAAACCCAAAGGAGGACACTGTGGGTCAGAATTGACTCAATGGCAGTGAGCTTGTTTATTTGTTTATATAAGCCTATATATAGAAACGAGGAGATGAGTAAGGTACCTTATTTTCATTAATGTATTTTATGAACACATATGGCATAGGTTGTGTGTGTTGTTGTGTTGTTATGTGCTGTCAAGTCAGATCCAACTCATAGCGACCCCTACTTGGGTTTCCCAGGCAGTATCACTACGGAAGTAGATTGCCCCATCTTCCTTTAGAGGAGTGGCTGGTGGGTTTGAACCACCAGCCTTCTGGTTAGCAGTCAGTGCCATATGCACTATGCTACCAGAGCTCCTATGGCATAGGTAATTAACATTAATATAGTATTGTGGTATATATTTTTATTCAGAAAGAACTTTCAGAGGTGGAACAAAACTCAAAATCATTAAAAAAAAAAAAAAAGGACCAGGTTTGCTGGTCTGATAGAGCCTGATGGAACCACTGAGACTTTGGCCCCTAGCTGCCTTTCAGGTCTGGAATTGAATCCACCCACACCTGTGGCTTCCAGTCAAACAAAAGATAGGCATATGAGGTAAACATTTACATTAGGTAGACTAGGTAGACACACTCCTTGGAGAGAACAATCATGGGAGAATAGAAGAGTTGTGTATGCATAGACAGCTCATGGGGCAGGAGTGCATGGAGGGATGGACACAGGGAAGAGGTAACTATGGGGAGAAAGTGGGAGGGGAGCTGTTGCATTGTGGGAAATTGTAGTCAATATCATGAGATAAAGTGTATGTAAGTGTATGGAAAGTGAATTTGCTCTGTAAATTTTACCCAAATCACAGTTTAAAAATAATAATAAAATTAAAAAAAAAAAAAACTTTCAGAGAGTAAACTATTATTTGTTTGAAGCAATATAATACTTTCTAACCAATTTCAAAAATACAAAATGATCAAGGCAGTGGAAGTGATAAGGAGGAGCACAAGAGTTAAAGGCCACAAAGGTGAATACTGTGACAGACACAATTCTTCAATAATAGTAATAACCATAATTTAGGAATGGGTACATAGATAGATACTCAAGCTGAAAAGGGGTGGAAAGGTGAGTGGGACAACATTTATACATATATGTTAGTTTGACACAGCCTATCTCTACCAATATATTTATTTGTGCTACAAATATATCTGTGAATGCAGGAGAGCACACATGAGACAAAGTTATGAAAACATCCTAATCATAACCAAATACCTTGAGGGAATGAGTTGCTGGGTATGGAGGCTCAGGACCATAGTCTCAGGGGACACTAAGGTCAATTGGCATAACACAGACCACAAAGACAATGTCTACATCCTACTTTGGTGGGTAGCAACTGAGGTCTTAAAAGCTTTTGAGGAGGCGGGGCAAGATGGCGGACTAGGCAGAAGGATTGCACAGACCCTCTTCAACAAAGAAAACGGAAACCAATTAATACAGACACAGAAGATAATC